TATTCCTACTCCACACTGTATAGGAAACTCCTGAGCTCAGCTGAGGAAAGCGATTACATATATTCCTACTCCAACACTGTATAGGAAACTCCTGAGCTCAGCTGAGGAAAGCGATTACATATATTCCTACTGCAACACTGTATAGGAAACTCCTGAGCTCAGCTGAGGAAAGCGATTACATATATTCCTACTCCAACACTGTATAGGAAACTCTTCTGAGCTCAGGTGAGGAAAGCGAACATATATTCCTACTCCAACACTGTATAGGAAACTCTTCTGAGCTCAGCTGAGGAAAGCGAACATATATTCCTACTCCAACACTGTATAGGAAACTCCTGAGCTCAGCTGAGGAAAGCGAACATATATTCCTACTCCAACACTGTATAGGAAACTCCTGAGCTCAGCTGAGGAAAGCGAACATATATTCCTACTCCAACACTGTATAGGAAACTCTTCTGAGCTCAGCTGAGGAAAGCGAACATATATTCCTACTCCAACACTGTATAGGAAACTCCTGAGCTCAGCTGAGGAAAGCGAACATATATGCCTACTCCAACACTGTATAGGAAACTCCTGAGCTCAGCTGAGGAAAGCGAACATATATTCCTACTCCAACACTGTATAGGAAACTCCTGAGCTCAGCTGAGGAAAGCGAACATATATTCCTACTCCAACACTGTATAGGAAACTCCTGAGCTCAGCTGAGGAAAGCGAACATATATTCCTACTCCAACACTGTATAGGAAACTCCTGAGCTCAGGTGAGGAAAGCGAACATATATTCCTACTCCAACACTGTATAGGAAACTCCTGAGCTCAGCTGAGGAAGTGAACCTCTATTCCTACTCCAACACTGCCGTCTCCCGCATAACTAAATTACATACTACACGAACTCCCAACACCTATCCATGCATCTCACCTCAGTAGAGTACTCAGCTTCTCCCACTGTGTTCCCAATCGACGTCAGGCCAAAACGTCTCCCGAGGGGTTACATTAGTACTCTCCGACGTATCTTCGCACAGCGAAGATTTTCCTCCAACTTTTGGAGCTTTTCCTAGCCCCCCCTTTCACGCCTTGCATGCCCAACTCCAACATCACATTCGAAATTCGACGCTTTAGCCCTACCAAGTGAGTTCCTCGAAGACTTCAATCACAGAAACACCAACTACATGAGGAACCCCTGAACATAGGAGAAGACCGATGCTATCGCCTCTTCCGAAAGTAGTCACTCCCAGTCTCAGCCGTCTCCTAGGAACCCCACTACTCTCCAGTTCTACTAGACGTACGAATACTCAAACTATATAAATCAAACAATGGTCAATACCACAACCACTATTCGGCAGGATGGAAACAAAATCAGTTGTTGGTGGTATACGCACGAAAGCAAGTAAAGCGATACAAGAGCGCAAGATTATCACAAACACGAAAAAGCGCACGCCCAAAAATCAGGAAGTCACGACACCGGCAATTTTTAGTGCCGAGAGGGCAAAGCATGGCAGTCTCCGACCTAGTGTGGTCAACTACATGTGTAGATGACAATATGATAATATTGGTTTTTGTACACTTATGTAAACTTCTGTAATTTTTGAAACAAAAACAACAGCAAGCCGATCCACGATCGCTACGGTACGTGCACTTTGAACATCTACCAGACTTGGTGATACCACACCTGTTCTTAAATGTCTCAAATAGTGACTTGTAACGATTATTCAGGATGCTGAATAACTTGCGATATAATGATCTCCCATTGGCGTGGTACGGGAGTATATCCTCATCCGATTTCAGAACACCACAGGAGACATTCTATTGACACGAACAACACAAGCCAGTTTCCAACTCCAAATTGTATTAAGTTGTGAGGATTCATACTCCTCTACTGGACACCGCCATATTTCTCCCTCTCATGTGCTAGCAGCTTGTCCTTCAACTAGTGCACAGCCTCAGCCTCTCCATACAGCTCGAGTGCTCCCGTCTTACTCCGGGCAGCGGAGAAATGGTCACCTCGGCTGACCATTCCGCTATACCTAAGAAAAACCACTTCAAACAATTCATTGACAAAAAATCACATGAAAAAATTTCATAAAAAATCAGTGACTGAAAAATGATATCAAAAATTTCATAAAAAAATCATTGACAGAAACAATTTATAGAAAAAGTCATTAACTGCGCTCAACTCATTTTCCGGTTTAAGTGTCGTTGTTTTTGTTTCCTGTTGCGACATGATGACCTATGCGGTGATAATCGTTGGGGCGAAATGCTCCGACTATACAATCGTCGAAGTGCTCCAACGAACAAGCAGGGTTAGCCAGGCACATCACTGTGCCTCTCCCTGCAAACAACCCAAATATCTTGGCTGTTAGCTCTTCACGGTTGCGAGTTAAGCATCGTGAGAAAAACACAAAAGCGGATTTTTTCACGCATTTTCCGCCCATCAACCAAAAACGTTAACAGCCTACTCTACCCCCATGCCTTACTCGGGATACTCAATCCATCCAAGCTGAGAGTAGACCTTGAGCCAGAAGGAATCTCCAGCAATGCTGGGCCGGAACACTGCCTGCTGACCCGGGGGTACCTATAGCCCGATAAATCATAACAACCTCACTCCGAACGCATCAAGTAAAACGAAGAAATATAAAAAAATTCCTATTACATGAATTCGTCGAACCAACCAAAGTTATGTATATACAAGAACGCCCCCCCCAACACCGAAAAATTTCGTCATTTTCCGAGATAATCAGCCAAAAAATCAAAGAGAATAAGATATCAACGATATGAGAATTCACCATAAAGTGACTTCATTCTCCAATACTTCCATATAAATGCGTCCGTCTCGGTCGATCTATGCGACTCCGCTACACATGAAGTCGAGCAGTGAAAAATATATATAACCATAGATGGAGTATGAATATATAATCTCACACATTCCGGAAATCTTATATATCACCAGAGTAGCTACTCCACCACTATTTTCACACATGTGCCTCGTTAGATACACCGGAACGGGACAGGCGACACAACCTCCTCACCTCCCGCTTCCCTTCAGAATTAGCTCCACCACCACCAATAGGTATCACACAGACCAGATCAGAGCTCTGATAAAGGTACAGTTTCAACGTGGACTTCGTGTGGTTATTAATCACAATTGGATGCATTTTCCGAGCAACTTGTATCTGTGCGGAAAGCAATCAGCGAAATATGACTACCATCAACCAAGGATCTGAATACGGTACGGTATCAGAATGAAAAACAATACTCAGAAACAAGTACTTAGAACGTTCAAAACAATGAAGCTCCACCCTAGTGATATGAAAAACACTAGTGAAAAACATGTTTCACCGACTACTGCATATCACCGCGAATGTCGCGTTTTTCACTGAGTTCTTCGACACTTCACGTTAAACGGGTGAAACTTCAATGAACTCATCAAACGTGACATACCCGGGCGAGCGCTAATGACATAGTGTGAACAAGTGGCCGCTATCACAGTTCCAAACGATTACTCTCATCACAACACATGTTCATAGTAATCTCCACATTTTACGTACGAAATTCCCAAGTCAACCCTTTTTTCGCGTAAAATCTGACTCATCCGCACTTGCATACCGAATTGACCTGCACTGTACTACTCACAGCAACAACCCAACTTACACGTGATAATTTATCACATTTTCCCCTCAGTTCAGCAGACTGATCCTGCGACCCGTTCACAAGGTAATGCCCTGCCAGTCCAAGAGCACCAAGAGCTATACCACCTGAACACACGTATGCAACATCTCTCCAGTGACACAGCGGTACCGCTCCACTACTTTCAACACTCACCTGGTACAGTAATGGCAACCCCAGCAGCAACTTTCTGCGGTCCAGTAAGTCGCCAACTGCCCATCGGTCCAGGCAAGTAACCATTGCGATAGGGGGTCTTTCCACCACTCAATGCATAGGACTAAGTTCGTCAAGCAAAAATCAATTTCTTTCATACAGTGACGTTTCACCAGCTTTACTTTTTTAACTGTTTCGCGATCGAAGTGTACAGGAACTGGGTGGTAACGTCCAGTATGTGCCAATTTGATATGCAAATGTGTGTTATTTTGTAGGACAAGTGATAGTGAACAAGTTGTCGCTATCATCACAGTCCCAAACGGGTACTCTCATCATCACAACACATGTTCATAGCCATCGTTACATTGCATATGCGATATATTCCAACATCAATTCCAACCAGTCTCGCCACATTTGCATATCAAATTGACACGCACTGTATACGAAATATACCTTCAGCGGAACAGTGCGGCGGTGGAATTGCATCGCGATAAGACAGATCCCAAACACAGTATATAGGTATTCAACGTATGATACTAAACTCTAAGATAATATCATCCCCAACCCATGCAGTAGAAACAACTTCCACACAGAACAACGAGATGTGCGTACGAACTGACCATTAGTCCAACATGAGCCCACCGGCCTACAGGAGTGTTTTCGCTCAGACTTATAGCAGGAAACAGCCTCTCATGCGACATGATACGACAGAGGCTCTTCGAACGAGTTGCCATCGGTGTCGCCAGATCCGCCAACCGACACAGCCAACTCTCATCTTGCTCAGCGGTCCATCCCGTCGCGCGTCGGCCGGTCGCCCAGTGCAGTGTAAAAATACAGTCGCGGAGAATTACAAAACCGCTATGGAGAGAAACTACACCTTCTTCGGAACCAAGTATTAACATATACAATCGATTGAGCCAGGAACGCTGCTGAGCCTGAAAATCTTGCAATCTCACTCCATCTTGAACTTCCTCAACTCACCTCGTCCCAATATTGATGAACTTGGGGGCCGCAGACGAACCAAAAATTGACCAAACATTTGGCTAAGGCTGCCTGGGTGTTCGCACCAACGAAACTGATCGCGATCGCCTCCATTTCCGAGTCGGTGGAAGAAACGCTGAGAGCCAGCTCATAGGCCAGTATACGCAGATGATTGAATAAAGAAACTGATGAAACAAAAACAATAACAATTATATTCTCCAATAGTCAACCGGGTTGGTGATTAAAATCGGAACCTCAACAACTTCCTCCCCTGGAGTGTTGAAAGAATATACGTTCCCTCTCCTCAGCTAGGCTCAGGAGTTTCCTTACTAGTTGTAGGAGTTTATATACGAATTCGGGTAGAAGTGTACAGAAACCAATGAGAATTTCCCACAATTTGCTCCCAGAATTTCCATATTGTCACCAACACATGTAGCATGTTAATATCTCCCTATACTGCTCACTTGCACATCGCTCATCCAACGTCCTCTCCAAAGGGATCACTCCATCATTCTTCTCTTCCGTCGATGCCGCTGATTCTTCCCTTGCCTCCGTTTCCTGCGAACCCCCCATTGCGAAGTTGAGAGCTACAAGGCATAATAGCAGCGATGCGCCAACACGACTCGTGCAGTATCACAGAAAACAGAGCTACGCACCCTTACACATAATGATAATAAAACGAAAACTCGAATCCTGGCAGGTCCGAGGTTATTATAGCGCCTATACCGATTTGGTAACCAACAAACAGACATGAAGGTATGAGATATGATACGTCCAATCAAGTCAGTGTAAGAACAGAACTGATGCGCTCACGCATGGGACGATGTGCCCGGAGGAAAACTCAGGTGAAAACGCCAGCAAATCGGCAGAGTCATCGGGGAAAATAGTGCAGAGCCCATGGGACCGAGAAAACTCTGATAGTGTCTTTGTTTCTACTATGCGAACGCTATATACCCAATGCATATAATAGCATCATTATAGGTCTAGTCGACACCGCCAACAAGTTCAGTTCCGATGAGTGCCTCCGCCACGTGAATGCGGAAGACATTTCGGAAGTCTTCCCCCTGAGGAAGTCCGGCGGCCAGAAGTTCAATTAAGTGTTTCTGAGCTTGAGCATCTTTCTCATTGGGTGTGGACTCAAAAACTTCCGACGGATGAGGACCAGCAACGAGGGACACCCTGGATGAACCTAACTAGATTACTCCCGGAGTATTACTCCATACCACACAAAACGAGGCTGATGATGTGAACAGCTGCATATTCTCTAAAAACGGAACATTTCGAGGATTCTCCTCAATTTCCAAATCATGAGCAATGCCAAGGTCAACAACAACAAAGAGAGGGCGGCGCTACACAAAATCACTTACCACTAGCCACCACTCTAGCACTGCCTTCCATCGTTCTGGCGAACAGCTTGGGATCCGCTCTCACACCAGGAGAGGCATGGCGCCAAGATCGGCCGAGCGACCACGATCGATCACAGTCTCCTGACCTGTGGGGAATAAGCTCTCCGTACTTTCCTCGATTTCAAACTCGTCATCTTCGCGAGGCCAAGAATCTTCACGTCCTCACTTACCGTGTGATGAGCACCATCATGGGATTGGATGAGGAAGGGTGAGTGATGGCTAGCTGCGGACACTTCCATGCCCACCCATCGATATCTTCCCTCTGCGGGAAGGCAACACTCTCGTTCGGAACTGAAATAGTGCTAGAGTTTCGAGTCGCACGGATGATGCGTGGAAGAAGATAAGTCATACACCAATCGCAATGAATTTCTCGCGATCTCGGAATCGACCGGATTTGTAGCGAAGACAAAGTCTTCAGAGAATACTATGATAAAACTAACGATCGATTGAAACTTGCGCTGAACTTCCAATGGTGGCAAGCCGGTATCATTATAATCTGCTGCAGATCAGCAACTTCAATCAACTGAATCAGCTGTTAGACCACTCAATGGCGAACTCGACCAGTCATATCGCGAAAGCCGCTTTCTGCCGTTTACGTTCGGCTGTCTTCTTGCCGGAAAGCTGGTGCTGTTTGAACTTTCTCCACCAAATTTGCACCAAACCGGCAGCGGAGTACACCCGCTAGCTCGATCAATAAGGATTGCGCCCCTGCCCCCATTGACATGAGCGTTTGTTGGGCATTGTTGGAGTTGTTATGAATAGGTGGCGATCTTAGACGATCAGCTCAGGAATTCGTCACCAATTGCCGTGGAGTCAGTGGTGATATCATTATGATATTATCATATCACCACTTACTCATATATCAGATATGTACTCTTATACCATATCATTCACTATATCAGATAAGGTGCTTCGAACTTATGATCGCACTTGAGGTGGACACGAGTGGAAGAATGCGTCTTGTTGATTAATATCGGCACTACTAGAAATATTATATTACTTATATATCACTGATATATATAACAGTGATAGTGTATTCATTTATTACTGATATATGTAACACTCATAGTGTAATCAAGTTGACCACTACTTGTCTTCAACAATAAGAAAATGTAAATATCCGCACAGGCCAGCATAGCACGGTATGCTGTACCTCAAGAGATAGATGAGTACCGGTTGCTTCAGCATGAGATTTTCAGGGAAGCACTCGATTTTAGATACATCCCACTGGCGCCGGGGCCGAATGGCTGAGCTAAGTGGCCGTGAGACGTATCAGCAAGGTCGAGCCGAGAGTCCGCGGATCGGAAACATAACTCTGGACATGATGGGAACCATAATGGGATTCGATTCGTTCAGTTGCAACTGAACGATACCAATCGAAGGCATTGGAATGGAACTCAGTCTACACCCCCTACGGGACGGCAACACTCTGTTGCGGCTGATGGCTTGGCATCGCATTTTCAGGTCATATAAACGCCTCGCATTTTCCTGAACGCTCTTTTTCAAGGGGCCAGCTAACTTACGCCAACTCATTCCGCCATCGTCCGATATAAACGAGATCTGGGACCTCGATGGGGCTCGCGGGTCGTAGCCAAGACATAAGAGACTGAAAAACATATACTCAGCGATATGATCAGAATAGTGAGAGAGCTCGAACAGGACATTTGTTAGTAGTCTCCTAGAGAGACTCTCCTTACACTTCGTCGCCGCCCAGAGCTATCATTCGAGCTCCCCAACGATTTCCGACGTCAACCGGAAGTCGCGATGTAATATCGTCCCAAGTTCTCCCTAGGTCGTCACTCATCCACAGATCACCCTTAGCTCGATCTGTAAGGGAGACGCATGACCAAACGATCGAGTGGAATGCCTCTCGTGGCCCACATCCTCCGCTATAGCCACCGTAAACGAGCACCCGATTACGCGCGGGTAAAAAAATACATGCAAAATCCGCCCTGGGCTGCCAAGGCGCATGCTCGGCTTGGCCTGAACGAGGACATACATACATACCAAATTTTCGTCAATTCCACCCACATTCGAAGTGCCGACCGCCATCAGTAGAAAGCCAGACGTCATCAAGAGGATCGCCCTCAACGCTCCATCCTCCCAATACCTGAGACTCCAATCACAAACCTCTCCAGTGGTCATCAATGACCTAGACATTCTCGTGGCGCGTCAAGATACCACCATGAGTTCCCACTCACTAGAAGTATCTTTCCATCTGGACTACCACACACGCCGTGATCGTCTCGGGGACACCAGGCCGAGCTCGAGCGCACCTAGGCATACTCTGCTCCGTGTGACGAACGATAATGAGGGGCCGTACCGTCTCCCAGGCTCTTCCTCCATCTTCGCTCCGACAGACATCAGAAAACAGTACTATTTCTCCGTCCTCCTCGTCATCGACATCGCTCGAAGACTCCCATGATGACTAATGCAACAAAGTTCACCGCGCGCCACTAAATTATCGGCCTACAAAGCTCCCTGTAGCTAATGAGTTTCTACTGGAGGAAGTGGTTGATCTTGAGTCGCACTGAAAGAACGCTTATCCAATACTTATCATATAGCTGTTGAAGGTCCCTGCCGAACGTGAACACTCACACTATGTTGCCATGCACGCGTAGTACTATCGTTTATAAAATTACGTCCATGTTACTACGATAGCGGCCTCGCATCGTCCCTCCAAAAGACCTCACACGTCCAGAACTATGCGGATGAACTTGAGCCATCTCTGAATATTCCATCTTTTTAGTGAGGAAATTTGAACGATGATGATGGAACGTATTCATTGCAGCACCGGCCGTATAGCTCGATCCAGGACAGAGCTGATCCGAATACCCAAAATTGCGTCTTCAAACGATTCCACAAGTTCGATTTCCAGGAATGCTTAAACGCTATAATGCGTATGAGTCCTCTCGGTTCCTTCCACGTCAGTCTGCCAAAACCAACGCGATGAATTAACGATATATTCATTCATAACCAAATCGATCACATGATCGATTGTCAGCTATTCCATCAATCGCTACCTCATCACTCGTGTCACCCCTCAGCTGCCGGCCTCCTAGAAGTAGCAGTGTCCCATCGGCCAAACCAAACAAACCATGGCCTCTACCTGAACTAACGTGCCGCGCAAAACTACGACAACGAGAATCTCCCACGCCGTTCGTGGCTAGTCGACGTCTGCCCATGCTCGTGAAGACCCCTCGATACTCCATCGCAGAGGACCGATCGCCAGGTCGATCCAAGGAGGCAATCCGAGCCTAAGAGTGACACGCGACCATTACCAACCTTGTTAGTGATCAACTTGATCCAACATATCTACCTTAGCGAGATTCACACAATGCACCACCAAACGTCGCATATGTCGATAATTTTACAGTCGAAAAATTTTCACTATAATATCACCAAATCACCACCAACACCCAGCTGAGACCTTCGCAGTACGGAATTCAAGCTACTACTACTACTACTACTACTACTACCGATCGACAACGACAACTCCTTCTCTGTTTCCTTCTCTCTCCCGTCCCCAGCCACTCTAGAACGACCTAATCACAACCAGATTTGAAACATAAATCCCCAAACAAGTATTCACAGCCCTTAGGAACAGATAATATAAGACTTCTGTGATTAAAAATTCCCATAAATTCCGAAATTCTCCCAAATCTTCACAATTTCACAGGTACATTTAAGAGAATAATGTCTCTTCTAATTGAGACCACATAATTCGATCCGCATAACACATTGAACTTCCTCATTAAAACCATCAATTTTGCCATCATTTCACCTTTCGCGTTGAGCATCATCTCCCCATGCCGACGTAGAAGGGCGGCTCTACCGAAAATCGGCCCTACAGCCATCATCGCGAAAACACAAATTCAACCTCAAAGATTCTCCTCCCGCACGCGGAAGAATTGCTCATTAAACTCTTCACTCAATCACAACTACCAGCAATGGAAACACGCGTTACTGTAGCTCTTTCGCTTAGACCTAGCGGGAATCCAATCGTGATCAACGAATGTAGCAACTCCCAACTTCGTAATATTATCAAGATCATCAACATGAACATACTGTACAAAACTACAATAGCTGGTCAATGACGAAGCAGTGACAGGCTATGCAACCGTGGAAACCATAGCAAAGACCCTAGTGACAGATAAATTACAAGATGCAATAAACGCAAACAAGAACAACAACGACGACGAAAAAGCTCTCGCCACAGCACACAGGCTTAATCAAAGCGAAAAACGATAAACATATAGTGAGTAACACAACACTGCTGCTCATATAGCAGTCCGTGAAGGAGGTAGATTCGATCGTGGTAACGATGGTAGGGTTACTCGGGATCGAGGACTAGGCATAAAACTGGATGCCGTTGGCGATCTTCGAAAGGAAGCTGGGGACTGAATAAGTGAATATTTCAAATCACTTCAACATTTTCTACAGGATGGCCCTGTCCCCATGACTTTACATAGCCGATGAGCTCAGAGACCTCTTATATACCATTAGAAAGCCATTCTCGAATTCTACATAAATGTGTATACAACCATTTCGTTCACTAACGTAGAAATATATTCAGCGCAGTTTGATTCCTTGAAATGAACAAAAAATTCTGCCACATACCACAGTATCATATATATATTTCACTATTACCAAAATTGTGCTGATTTCCATTCACACCAGATGAGATGAAAATACGACTTCCTTGTAATGATAAATGATAGATTCCCCCGACAGCATGAGCAAAACTCATGCTCCGCTGCTAAAATTGACTCCCTGTTCCACGTACATCACATAAATTCGCTCACGCCCCCCCCATTACTACCCTAGCAAGCCCCCTCGGACTCCTAGCAGCCAGAGGCACTGTTGGTGGCAATGATGATGGCATCGGGGAATGTCCAGGCCATTCCCCAGGAGATGAGCCACCTGCCGAAGTGTCCCTTTGTATGTGAGGATAAGTATAATTCCCTCGGATGGGGTGCTGTGGAGGGATACCCCCAAGCTCACTGCTTGTCAGCGACTCCTCTCCTCGGACCATTCGACTCGTGGATCTACATTCATATCAAATCAAAGTAATGCAAATTTTGCATGTCGTTGTGTAAAAACATAAAAGTCTATTCATCTCTCGAGAAATACCATGAACATGCACTATGGAGTTTCATGCGCCTTAAGTGATATGGAAAACACTAGTGAAAAATATATTTCACGATTACTGCATATCACCGCGAATATCGCGTTTTTCACAGAGTATTATGCCACTTCACGTAAAACACCTTATGCACTCATTATTCAACCTCTATAAAAGTGGTGAATCGAAAGAGAGCTCACACGAAATTCCATCTGGAAATTCGCGAGTGGAGACAAAACGACTGCGGAGATCTCTCCCTGTGAAATCACAACTTCCAAGATTCCAGATTTACCATACGCGTAAATTGAATACCGTCGCTCCCAGTACGGGAATATATGTTTGGTTTTCTCAACTGAGCTCGTAGGTTTCCTTACTATTTCATAAAAAATCACACGATTTTGGGTATAAGTATACAAAAATCAACGATAATTTCCTCAAAATTTCCATATTCCTAGCAACACATGTAGTCAACCATGCGCATATATTCCCGCACTGGTCGCTCCCATATATGAGAATCCCAAATCCCGCACCGGGAAGATTTTCCCATCCCCACTCACCGCGTGGATCGTGAAGTCATATCACCCCTCGAATAATTGTAAGCCAGCGCCGATCTACTAGTGCAATCTCCTCCAGAATAATATCGATTACACGATCGATTTGTAGTTTCCCCACCACCACGATAAGATCTGCCTGTGAGGTCCCCTCCCACGTGCGAGCGATTCGTGGCATCACCACGGTACGATCGATTCGACCGACTTGTCGTATCCCCGCGGTTGGATCTAGTAATTGAACTGAAACGATGAGAGAGGTAATACAAACAAAAACAACAAGTCTTAAAATTGGATTCTCGAGATTTCCAGTGGAAAGTGTCAAACTTCTAACTACTTCAGATGAAGTCGTTACTGGACTACCATTTATTATATGACCAATTCATCAAGTCAAAAACGGCGATTCCAAAGTGGTGAAATAAACATACTGTACGAATAGCCGAGGTCTTGAGCGCGCCTCGGAAATGGTCGAAATATCGAATTTAATGATTTGTAGCGAAAATTTTACATTTTTCGTATTTTCTTGGTAAAAATACCAAAAATCGACCACAAATAAAAATTTCAACTTTGAGAAAACTCAAAATGTGTTATCAATTCCACTAAGTCGTTCTATAACAACACTCAAAAACAAATGCGATTAAAGTCAGCCAAACACGAGTGGCATTGAAAGTAGCATCCATAACGCAGAAAGCTGAATAATTTCATAATACCACATTTCTCTCAAATTACTATTGGGTATTACTGTTCTCTCTCTCGTCGCCTATTGGCCATCTTCTCCTCGAACAATTCCTCACTCCATTTACGTGCATTAGAATTGCTCACTAAACTCCGTACTGACGCCTCTCCACCACCGTTCATACCACTCGGGGAACCTAGCCCCAATTGAAAAGGATTTTCGAAAATTTTGGTAATGATAATATCCGATTTTAATCATAGTTGGAAACAAGTAGAGTATCGTAGTACGCACAAAACTGCCGCTCTCGCCAGCATTGGAATATATGTTCGCTTTCCTCAGCTGAGCTCAGGAGAGTTTCCTCACTAATCATAGGAGTTTATATTAGAACTCGGGTGAAATATACAGTCATATTTCCTGTTGGTTTAACCAACAGGAAATCATATCATGATTTTCATATTGCCACCAACACATGTGGATGACCATGTGCATACTTTCCCAGGTAGTAATACTACCATCGTAGTAACTTCCTCCCTTTAACCGTGCCCGATAGTTTTCCTGGTGGGCAACACTGGGCAGAGACCAGTCAGAGTACCTTCTACTTATTCCAGCCCCTTCCTGAGCATCGCTGCTCGAACAACAACAACCCATGGCAAGCTCGTGAAGTAATAATACAAACAGAAAATCGACCTGAACGTATTGAATCACCGATCATAGCGTTGGACGCACTCATAATAATAAAGATATCTCTTAGTCTGCTATGAGAAACACCCACCGCAAGGCAGCCATATAAGGGCTACGGCCAGAGAGCCTGTTCTATCAATCTCACAGAGGTTCAGGGAAAGTTGGTATTCAATAACAATTCCTGCTCTGACAGCTCGTTTGCCCTCTCTAAGTAAACTACACATTCCCACCAAATTTTAGATAAGCCTAGGCGGAGAAATCTGAGAGGAATGTCATGAAGTCTTTAGGGGAGGTATGAGAAACTTTCCTTTTAACTTTTCCAGGCCTTTCAAACCTTATGCCATGATGCATTATGCATTTCTGGTACGATTTGTCAAGTGTGACGGTTATCATAAGTATGGACGAAGATTCTTTCCTGCAATAGTGTAACGGCCATAGTTGCGTCAATTACAATATCGATCACTGATCGATCGTCGTTCTGGCAATTACGTCATTATCCACTATTGCATTCAATCCAGGGTTATCTCAACCTTTCTCTGAACGTCTGTCATCTGCACCAGCAGAGGTTCGGCACCTGGTATCATCTCTCTGTACCTGATACCGAATTGCGTTTCAATTCGAGGAAGAGCCTGCGGTCGTCACACAAGATAATGTGATCAGACCAGCTGGTGAATCTATTTTCATTGATGAATCGTTCATTAATCGACAATGGCTTCATTCCCACGTGTGACGCGAGATCCTATCCAAACGAGAAATTCTTCTCCCGCCGACCCGGGTTCGAATCCCAGCCAGGGTATTTCTCCGGACTTTTTTCGTGGGTGCAACATTAGTTATTCATAGGCAGACTTAGCTCAGTGTTCTCATGCGTCGCATAGCATTCATAGACCTATTCGGTGCAAGAGTGCCTCATAAGACTAGAGCGTTACTATTTAGAAAAATAGATGCACTACAACAACAGCGGAGCGTAGCTAGGAGGGGGAGATTGGGTATAGTGATTCAACCGGCATGTTCAATAGACCTCTCCTGAGCTTCAAAAGCGCTGTTGGGATAGAGTTTTACATGTAAAACTCAATCCTAGGGGCGCTCTCGAAACGCAGGAGAGGTCTAGTGAAGACCCCGAACAGTACACAACTACTACTGGACGACGATTGAGTAATGAAAGAGATATGCATGGCTTGGTACTTCCATCGGTAGTACAACCCGTGTTGCCTATATTACGAAGATGAGAATAATAAGCGATGTTAAGACGATATTCCGTGCATTAAAATGATTTTAATACACTGAAGATGTTTTTTATGATTCTAATAATTTTTTACCGTCTTTTCTTTTATGATTTTATCAATAATTTTTTCCGTGTTATTTTTTATGATTTTAATAATTCTCTACGTGTATTTTTCCTATGATTTTATCAATATTATTTTCTGTGTATTCTTGAATGATTTTCTCAATAATTTTTTCTGTGTATTTTTCCTGATTATAATAGAATCAGTTTTATGGGAAATCCGTAGTCGCTAATGTAGTGCATGAAAATCAAATAGGGTTTTTGCTTTGTATACAATGAGGCGTATTTTCCGTAATAGTGTAATATGGGGACAAGACGATACTGCTACCAACAACACAGTAGAAGATGACGATGACGATGAGGGGGGTCCTGGTGTGGAGTCTGATCCCATCGCTTCCCTCATCACGAGCAGCTCAGGCTCCTGGCCAAAGCGCCTCAATGAGTTCGAGGAAAATCAAAGTAAGTCTTCAGAGTGAATGCAGTACGAGAGTTGTTCTCAGGCATGGCTTCTACTTGTAGTAAATTGGTAGTGTCAACGTACACCTCTGTGAATCCTATTGGTTTTCATGCCAACGAGGATCGGAGTATGTACTATCAACAGAGTATTAAAATAAAGGGCCTTTCCCAGTCCTTGTATGTAAGTCGACTCTGTGTGTCACCATCAGTGTCACCACTGATGAGCTTCTCGAGGTTTTCGGCGTTCTCGATGGCCATGACGGTATCACAGCGTGTGAGCTGGTCGCGTCGGAGTTTCCCAAAGCGTGGATCGATAATTCGGTCAATGGTGATCGAATGGACACCTCAGTAGTGTTGGGGGGAAAGAACTCGCGACAGGTTTTTAAACTTGTTTGTATGCTTCTACTACTTTTTGTTTCATTCGGCGTTTTTCCTCCGAAATTATAGTCTTTATTATTAATACTTCTATGCTACTCGGCTATAATCGTGCGTGAGAAAATCACATTCTCAAATTTCCACTATAATTCTCAATGATATAATCCCACTTTAGCAGAATCACCTCTCGTTTTAAACTTCTCCCAAGTCTTCGAATTTTGTGGCGCAGTGACGAAATTGATTTCGTTTTGTCAGATCGTAGAGGCTGCGACGACCGGGTTGAAGTATTGCGAAAAAGTATTGCAGACTTCTAATTGTTCTGCTGGAGTATGCGTTTTGGGTAATTTATTAATAGGGAGGTACTAAGGATCGAACGTGGGTCATGTGGATGATAGTCACGAAGTCTTACCTGTTGAGGTATTTGTATTGCGGAAATCTCGGTGATTGCCGAGCCGCCTGGATTCCTCTCCGATTCCGCGGTTCGAAAGTTGACCTCGACCCATCGGAAGACATCGTTGCAGATGGAGGGATTATTTGGACTAGGTATTGAACTAGGTATCACTCCTCGTCATCAGTGTTGGAGTAGGAATATATGTAATCGCTTTCCTCAACTGACCTCAGAAGAGTTTCCTATACAGTGTTGGAGTAGGAATATATGTAATCGCTTTCCTCAACTGACCTCAGAAGAGTTTCCTATACAGTGTTGGAGTAGGAATATATGTAATCGCTTTTCCCAACTGACCTCAGAAGAGTTTCCTATACAGTGTTGGAGTAGGAATATATGTTCGCTTTCCTCAGCTGAGCTCAGGAGTTTCCTATACAGTGTTGGAGTAGGAATATATGTAATCGCTTTCCTAGCTGAGCTCAGGAGTTTTCTATACAGTGTTGGAGTAGGAATATATGTAATCGCTTTCCTCAGCTGAGCTCAGGAGTTTCCTATAAAGTGTTGGAGTAGGAATATATGTTCGCTTGCCTCAGCTGAGCTCAGGAATTTAAAAATCTAGGTTTACATACGAATCCGGGTAGAAGCGTAAAGAAAACAAAATTACAATTTCCGGAAATTCCCTCTCAATTTGGATGTTGGGGAAATATGCACAATATTCAAATTGTGAGAGAATTTTGTGGAATTTTATTTTTGGCGTATGTGCACTTCTCCTCGGAGTTGTGTCTTTTCACAATCCCTGAGCTCAGCTGAGGAAAGCAAAAATTTCGCGTGATTCGGTATTTCTGTAAATCGCATCAGAGCACTATTTCGTTCTGGTTTTCCAGTCGAGATATGAAGGCGTCCGCTACTTATGAACGTAGGAGGATCTCACAAGCCGGTGGTAATGTCTCAGACGGCCGCGTGGCTGGAGTGTTGGAGCCCAGGTAATAGGAGAGCTCTTACTGTATCACTGGAGTTTCACGACCCTAGTGATATGAAAAACAGTAGTGAAAACATATTTCACGACTACTACAGGCCGCGAATATCGCGTTTTTCACCGAGTTTTACGCCACTTCACGTGAAACGGGTGAAACTCCATTGTATGGAATTTAATATCAATAATATTAATATTATTATCTATAATATAATATATATTTGATATCGTACGGGTACGCGAGTAGTAGTCCGTGAAAATGTCTGAAATTTTCTATAGTATATGCATTTTTTCGAACGTAGATCGCTGATCTTGCGACAACCCCAATAATTAGTCGGTGACTTTTGTGTGTTTTTATGAAATATCGATTATATAGTATTATTTTATTCACTAATTTATAAACAGCATTTTCTCTCTTTGTCGCGATGATGAGCTCATTTTTTCTTTACGTTTTCAGTCGTACTATTGGCGATTTTGATGTTAAGATGAAGATCCCTCCTGACGTGATTAGCATCACACCAGAGGTTATAATGGGGTCTAGGTTGAACAGACTAATACACAGACAGTGCGCAATTTTGATCGAATTTGCATAAGTAAATTGAGAATTTCATCGTATCTTTGCTGAAACTCACGGGGAATCGATTCGCGGTTTTCTCATAGTAATATTGTCGAGCATTTAAAGAAGTTTAGAGGATTACTGATGCATGTAGGATGTACATTGGAGTTTCACAACTATTCTAGTGATATGAAAAACATATTTCACGACTACTGCATATCACCGCGAATATCGCGTTTTTCGCAGAGTTTTACGACGCCACTTCACGTTAAACGGGTAGTCGTGAAACTCCACTGGATTATATTATACGTATTCCTCTCATAAAAAGGATTATATTATTCGCTTTGTATTATAACTCGAGTATTATGTATGTCGTTATGTGTATTGTTGTTGTTGTCTAGGTGCGATGTGTAGATTTACTAAGTACAGGTAGAGGGGGAAGTGAGGAGACGCGAGAGTATGGCGGCTTTGGGTTGATAATGAGCGCAACGGACGGTAGTAGGATGGGTGAATCATTATTATTGGGGAAGGCGCTTGGTCGCTCGTCGTTGAGTTGTTATGAGTTCATTAGCGTGAGTGTCTTTGGTTGAAAATGTATTAAAAAATATTAGAAAAAAATTATATATGATTTTATTCATTGAAAAAGTATTAGAGTAATTTCATGTAATTCCAATATTTTATTCGGTATGAATATTTTCCGTTGACAGACTGC